TACCTGGAGCTCTATAAAAGAGTGAACAAGATTTTGTGTACTAGAAATGCAGCTTTAAACATTGCTAGTATAAGTACATGGTTTGACTTTTTTATTAACTTGCTGTAAACCAGCCTCCCTCAACATTTTCAACACAGAGGAACCCAAAAATAACTTTCCAGTCTCAAGGAACCCCCTTCTAAAAATTACTATAACTTCAACTCATGATGCATTAGTGTGATGGTCACTGGGAAGTGACAACTGTGGTTATTGGGAAGCCAAAAAGATCATTCTTGTAAGTGGGAATTTCTCCAAGAGACAGAAATTGCTCAAGGAACCCCTAGAAACCTATGGAGAAACCCTAGTTGAGAAACTCTGCTATAATTCTTTCCACAAGACTAACTGTAAAGTGGGGTCCAGGTACAGAAAACCACAAAAAAAAAAAAAAAAAGGTTTTTTTCGTTTCAGTTCTGAAAGGAATTGAGAAGGGTTAAAGCTTTTCTTGGGTTATAATTATTGTCTGTAACTCCACAGGGGAGACTACCCATCACTTTTTCGATCTCATGACACCAGGCCATGAGGGTAAAAGAAAACAAAAAAAAAAAAACACGCACGAAAAGTTCTAGCCTCCCCACTCTCCTAAAACAGATATTGCCCATAGCAGTCAGTCTGACCCCCTGGTACTTTATTTAGCACATCCAACAAAAAATCGTGGACTGACTACTTACAGCCAGAGGATAAAGAAGATGAACACCCTATGTTACAGCAGCACAAGACACGTGATTTCAATAAGAGAATTATATGAAACTAAACAGAGAGATAGCAAAGAGGGCTGTAGTGTTCTGTATGCAAAGATAACGCATGGGAGTGAGTGATATCAATGAGACTGCCAACAGCAGAAAATGCTAGGTAAAGCAATCATGCACTGGGGTACTAAAGAAGGTGTTCTCATCCATTCAGTGCTGACCCTCATTTGTAAAAAAAAATATGAACAAACTTTGAAAACTGTGCCTGCTACCATTATGACTAAGCCCCGAGGGTGGGTTGAAACGCATCAGATGGGTGGCCTTGGAGGAGCCTGGGTTGAGGCCGCTATTCATTCCTATATACAATTTGGCTACTTGGTGTTCGGCCTCTCTCCATTCTTTATACACCATATTCTGGATGAGTTCTACTGGGCGCTGGCACCAGTATGGGTTGTGGAGCACCGAGGCAGGGATTTCAAACAAGGTTACTAAAGGAGGCATTCTCATCCAAACTCTGCTGACCCTCATTTGTACAAAATATGAACAAACTTTGAAAACTGTGGCAACTACCATCACAGCCGGTGGTGACATCAAAGCAGAAAGGTGCTCACATTCAATATAAGTGATGGAGGCTAGAGGGGTTGTTTTAACCACTGGCACCAATCTCTAAGAATCAAATAAAATGTTGAAGAGCAGAATTTAAACAACCCCTTTAGTTGCTGTTCATCTACAGGCATGTTTACTTTGACACATTTAGATATCACTTGCCTCTCCCACTTGTGTGATCTATTGCTCAGCTGGGACGAAACTACCCAGGAAATGCTCTTCTAATATTCAGTCAATATCCAAGGGTGCTTGCCTAATAGCATTATTATGCCAATATTGTCAACATATTTAGTATATAACATTATGTCTGACTCATGCATTTTCAGATTCTCCAAATACAAACGCAATAGAGTGCCAGAAATTCTAAATAACCCACTTTTACATAAAGCATCTTATGAATTGTAAGACACTAATTAATTTTTCATTAGTATTCAACTGTAATTACTGCAACAATATTAGACGATTTGGTGCCCTGTACAGAATAGATTTTGGAAATGTATTTTGGGTCACAAAAAAAAAGAGAATTCAACTTACAAGTGATATGGAAAATAAATAAGCCAATAAATTGCCTTTCAGAGGTATTCTTCCGTGTGCACAAGCTTATCCTGCCTACAAGGCAGAGTTTTTCTAACTAATTACAACTTTAAATACCTTTCCACCAGCCAGAGATTATGTATGTGCTGACACAAGGATTCACTTATCTCAAGAGGAAAACACTTAACATTCATGGGCTCCTTCCACCGAAAACTGCACAGGGTCTATTATGTCATAATCTATCCAATGACTCAAGCCGCATTAGAATGCACTGATGTATGTGGTTGCAAATAAACTAGGGTGCAGGTATCTCAGTAGCTTCATATGATGGGCAGACGGCAACAAAACAGATTTTTAAAAAATCTAATTTATGGTAACTAACAAAATAGGTAATCTACGTGACTCCTTGGAGAAACGTTATCCTATCAAATCCTATGCTTACTGTAGAAGCCTTAGAGAAGTCTATATGCAGCCCATTTTGTAGTTTGAATGGACACATTTACATTTGTTTCCAACAAGCAGCAATGTAATTACAGAGAACCTGCATATAAGCATTGCTGTGAAATCTATTTTGCTAGAAATGAAAGCACATACTGCACTAGTGTGAATATCTATGCAGCAAGCAGGAACCTTCACTATCTTCATCTCAGGAAAATAGTATCAATTGCTCAACAAAAACCCATCTCAGAACTGCAATGATATTAAAGTGGCAATAACCATAGTGACTGTCACCTAGTTCAGATAATTTAGCTGAAATCACCAAGTACAATGCCCCATAAAACACTAAAATATCTATGGGTAGCTGGCAAACTCTGGGGCCCATGTGGTGTCCAACAGAGTCTCCTTTACAGTCTCACATGCTGTGCTGGTAAAAGGAAAGGCACAAACCAAATGCTATGGCAACCATGGAAATTTCTTGATATAGACATTTAAACAAAGGATTTAAAATGCTACTAGATATGGAAATCAACAGAAGCCACCATAAAATATCCCTTCAAACCTTTAGAAGTTCTCCACCTGTCTGTATTGTAAATGTTTTTACGTAGAAGGCAATATGGTAGCCGTTATTTTTATATACAGTATTTATATCTGCTGTGAAAATAAGATCTATCATTGTGAAATTATTCTAGTAAACGTTGCTCCATATGTTTCTCCCTGCAGATAGGGATTTTTGGAAAGACCTTGGTCTCAACCTTCGGAGGCAGCAAACTGTCCCTTGTTTTATTAATTTAACATGTTTTTATTCCATCTTGCACATAACTGCAGGATGTTTCTTTTAAAGCTTAAAACGGTCTTATTTCTCTTTATAAGACATACAGAAAATTGGGTGGTGCCAAGGAAGTGGCTTACAGAGGCGCATAATTGATATCCATTGTCAAGGGACCCCTCGCTGGAGTCAGAAATGGACAATGGACATTACTTTTTTTTTTAAAAAAACATTTTCTTTGGATGAAAACAAATCTATACATGGAGCAGAAATGCTAGTTGCAGTCAAAAATATCTTGTTGTGGTTCAGAGATGGTTTCTAGGTAACACCATTCATATTGACCTAACCTTGTCTGGGCACCTCTTGCACGGCACTCTAGTCGCTGACATGGGCTCTGTTAGAAAAGGGATTAACCTACAAAGCAGGTGCTGTATGAGCAGCAACCATGTAATCTCTCAAGAGCTGTACAATCAATAAACACATAATCCTGAAAAGACACCTTATTATATTTTGCTAGGACACTTCAAGGAACAAAGAACTGCTTTATGAAAGCCCTCTTTCATTGCACATAAATTCCCATGCTTCGCACATGTATGAATTTCAATAAAGAAGCCATGATTAAATGAACGGTCATTAAAAATATGGAGCGACTGTAAAAGAGAAAACACAATCCCACCTCTAACAGTATTGCATCAGTTCCATCATAACAGTCACATTAAAATGTTTAATTATGTCATCAGCTCTGCTATAATATAACATGATTCAACCTAGATATGAGATTTTCTCTCAGATGAAAAGGGCACCCAACATGTTGGATTTGTTCAGGTGACTTTATGACTTCACCCAGGAATAAGCTGCCAGCAATCAGATCACGCTTGCACTCCTGGCCACATTTTAATGACTATGGTCAGCTCAAAAGTTGGTAAACTGATCTTAAAATCTGCCACTTGCAGAGGGCTTCTGCTCCAGGGCTTTCTTGTCAACTTACCTGTACATTAAAATATCATCTTCAATTGCTAAAAGCTTAATCTTCTAATTTGTATAGTGTGCTGTGCAGTCACTGTATCTACAATTAACAGTTCCAATCAAAGTGCATGGGGATGCACACAATACCTGTTCATACCCCCATGCTGGTAAAAAACATTGCCCTGCATGGTGCACGGATTAAAATGGACAAGGCCTAAAAGCTTAACTTAAATACTAAATTTGAAGCAATGACCTCAACAAAATTTTGACTCTTACGCACAAGTCCTGTGTCTCTGCAGCTATCCATGAGAAGAGTTATAAAAATCTTACACAATGGTACCGCTGTCCTGTGGCACTCCACAGAATCTATGCATCTGTCTCACCGAACTGTTGGAGGTGTGGACATTTGCAGGGTTCCACATTCAACTTCTGATGGGCATGTACCACAATACATGATCTTTGATTATGCAATGTCTGCATCTGTGACTGTCACCAACACCCCCTCCTGTCTCCGTCCATCGCCCTCCTCTCAAGTACCAGGCTCCATTTTTCTCAGCCTAAAAGAGCTTACTACGCTTCTTTCTAATAGCTGTCAAAAGCATACTAGCCAGACATTGGAAGTTAGTGGCTGTCCCCACAATAGCAGAGTGGCTTGCTGAACTCATTCGCATACAACGCCTGGAAGAGCTTTTGGCACAACATCATGATACATTTTCTACATACATGGCTATCTGGTGTATTCACACTGTTTTAGACCATTTTCTCCTGACTTCCTGAACCCTTCAGCACTAGGTTCAAGCTAGGACTTCCCCATCTGTACACCCACCTTCCCTCTCCCTATTTTTTTGTCTTCCTTCCATCTCCTCTCTCTCTTCTTTCACCTAACCCTTCATTAGTGAATCAAATTTTTAGTCCATTTAATTTCCCCTTTGAATTAAAAAATCATACAGTAAAGCAGTCCTTGAAATTTCCACTCGCCTGCTCACCAATGGCAAGTGGAAATTATGGTGGGGGCGAGTGTGTCCCACAGGGCGAACTTGCTGTGCAGGCTCGGAGCTCAGGCCGGATCTGTCATTGGCACTGGGAGCGGTCAGATTGCTCAATAGCTGAGCGCAGTGAAAGCAAAGGAAGGAGTGTGTGCTGCGCTCTCTGCCTCCCCCTAGAGTGCAGTAGCCGGCTCTGTGAGTGAACAACGAAGTACTGCAACTTTTTATAGGGTGTGTGTGTTTGTGTGTGTGTCTACCTAATTTCAGCTCACTGGTCACATGTTCCTCTATGTCAGCCAGTGGTGGCTTCAGGGAAGAGGAGAGAACACTTAACAGCATGCGTGCACATGTGTGTTTGTGTGTGTCTGTGTATGCATGTACATGTGCCTGTGTGTATGTACATGTATGTGTGTGTGCATGTACATGTGTGTGTATGTCCATGTGTCTGTGTGTACATGTGTCTGTGTATGTGTATTTCTGTGTATGTACATGTATCTGTGTGTATGCGTGTCTGTACGTGCCTGTGTGTGTATACATGTGTCTGTATGTGTGCATGTACATGTGTCTCTGTGTGTGTGTTTACATGTTTCTGTGTACAGGTGTCTCTGTGTGTATTTGTTGGTGGCAAGTAACCCTTAAGGCCTGGGTAGTAGCTCAGGACTTGAAATTTTAAGCCCTGCAGTAGAGTATTAACCCATGATAATGACACCCCTCCCCTCCCTTAGGGAAGGACCACATCACTATGGTTTTGTTTGCCATACCCCACACTCCAAGACCCGGGGGGGAGACCCCGGAAGAACACCCAATTTGTGACTTTAGACCTCAAGCTCTACCTGCTTATCCTCCATGAGTCCCTGACAAAAGATCGATGTCACATACACTTTGGTACTTTTGAAATCTCAGATTCTTCCCTCCTCCTATTACCTCATGCCAACATAAAACGAATTAGCCTCTTTAGCTTTTACTCAGGGAGTGAAGTTTTTCCTGTGTCTGTACCTTACACTTGAAATGAATACAGTCTTATTCTTTAAAAGCTGAACTCAAATTCATCAACTTTGTATAATGTGCTGTATTTCTAGTAGTGAAGTCCAACGAGGTACATGCCAGCTCATGGACTTATCTTTTTATTTACAATTTGTACTTTTACTGAGCACAGAGAACATAGTGATCACTATATATCTGCGCTCTGAAGCTGGACCTTGTGGTTTCAGCTACAGCAGTCGCAAAGTCGCATGCAACCATTGTGCCCGTCCCTCCCTTTCTGTTGCCCAGTCACAGAGCGCTTTGTATTGTGTGAACTCAATCACAAACTACAAAAGGCATCAGTGAATGGACAGTGGAAGGAAAGGGTGGGTAGAGCTGGTGCTTTCTGAGAGAGAAAGACATTTCTCCTGTCAGAGCCCCTGGAGTGTAGTGATAGCTGTGCTCCCAAAGCTTCATAAAACTGTCAGATGTAAATAAAAGATATATCCACAAGGGGTCATGCACCTCATTGGATTTAACTCACAATATGCCAGCAAATTTTACGAAGTGTCTGAATTCCTGGACTTTAGCTTTAATCAGAGTTTTTGTTATAAGAAGATTGCTCTTTTTGCCTATAAATATGTAGTTGACACAACATATGGTATGATTCCTGAACCTGTGAAAAATGTTTAACATTACTGAGATTTAGCATATCTACATTTACACCCAATGTACCATAACTTACAATCATCATTAACGCCTGCTTTTTTTTTTTTTTAACCTTAGCATTGCAAAGTTTGTACTTGTAAGACACCGGGATCTAAACCTGTACCATCTGATCCCCACAATTAAACATCACCTGGATCTAAATGTATCTCCAGCCAATTATTATACTCCCTCTCAGACCATCAAACATCTGGTTCTAGGCTGTTCACTTGTTAATGCTGTACATATGGAAGTAAATGTTAGTGCTACGTATTGGCTCCTGTGTAGAGGAGGGAGCACTTAACAGTCAAAACATCTTGCTGCTGAGAGTCGGGTATATATTACAAGGAAGCCTCTTGAGGAAGAAAAGTGATCCTCTTGAAAGCAGCCTAAGTAAAGCCAGAGATTCACCAATAAAAAAACGGAAGGAACTTCAAAAGGCAACAGAAACAGCAAGGTTCAGTTTTATGTCTAGTTCTCCTCTGACCTGTAGCCTTAATGAGCAGCTATGAAAAATAGGGCTTCATGATCATTTTAATGCCCAATAAAAGTACACAAAAAAATTTATGGTGCTGTCAGAGCAAAAATAAAAGAGACAAGGAGTGCTGGCTTTATAGATGACCTTTCAGAATGTGACAGCAAGGAAAACCGTTATAGTGTGGTTTACTTGGGGACAACATAGCAATATTCCCTGATGGCCTGTGCTCATGCCTATGGCTCAATCAGGGCAACAACCAAAAGATTTAAAACGTTGTATCATGTTATTTTTTAAAATTGCTCCTTTTTTTCAATATACAGGTTTGTAAAGGTTTTATTTTAGTGGCCATCTATGTATTAGGGAATAAATCGGTTTTCTTACAACATTACCACCTATGATTCCCCCATATTTACACTCTACTCTCCTGAACCTAACAGGCCATAGATGTAGTTACATAAGACTTTAGTATTTGTTGATTGCCTTTGCCCACTGTACAGTAGTATGTGAAACAATTATCTTAGCTCTTCTGCATCTGCTGAAAATGATTGTGTTTGCAATCTCTTCCAGAGAGACCAGGAATAGTCCTTTTCTTCCAGGCACTCATAGATGGAGTACAGGTAATCAAGGGAAGGGGCTATTTTAGAAAAGTATACCCATATACTCAATATGCACAAGGATGGATATATTTACAAAGGGTCTTCAAAAAGTTTCCAAACTTTTTTATACATATATTACACACACACACACACACACACACACACACACACACACACACACACACACATATCTCCTTTAGATTGTAAGCGCCATGAGCAGGACCCTCCTATTCCTTCTGTACTGAAATGCATTGTAATTGTACTGTCTCCCTTATACTGTAAAGCGCTGCGCAAACTGTTGGCGCTATATAGATCCTGTATAATAATAATATATATATTTACATATACACACACACACAGTATATACTGAGAGAAAAGCGCAATGGAGCACAGTCGTTTGCAAATGTAATCCGTAAGTATGTCTGCCACATATATTTTTAACATCCTCACAAAGAAAGGGTTTTTAAGGCATAACTGATCATTGATCATTTTTTTTAAGTTCTGATGGACTTATGTCCCCTTTATTCTTGTGTCATTTATTGTGGCTCCCAACTGGAGTAATAAAAAAAGCAATAAAAGCTGACTGCAGTTGTAATCCAGTTTACAGAGTTCAACAACTCAAGCTGAAATTTACACCCAAATGTTCAGAAAATAACAAAAATAAGTCTATAAAAAAAAAAAACTATAAAAGCTTAGTGTTACTTAACCCACAGGAGTAAAATCAGTGTGTAGTTGCAGTAAAGCATGCTTGCTATGCTCACTGTGGAACCTAAGGGGTTAATCCCCCGCATTCTGTAAAAAAGCTATTTGATCCTGTCTTCTCTGCCCCTCCTCTTGTTCAAATACCCACACTGATAAGACAGACTGAACCATGCCCTTCTGCACATGCTCAGTTTGGTGTGTATTGCTAGAGAGGTTTTTTTCTTGGGAGAGTGCATGTGATCAGCACAGGGCCAATCAGCACTGTCCAGCACTTTTCCATCCTCCTAGAGAAAACTCCTCCTATAAGCTTTAATGAGTGCTCAGCGGAAGTCACAAGACTGCTCTAACTGCTGATGAGATAAAGTATTTAGCAGTTTATATTTACTAAAATATTTGCACTTCTATGTTCTGTGTACAGTGGGAGACCAGATATAGTGAATGCAGGGTCCGGCGTATAGTAACACTTTAAAAACCAATACAGACTCCCCAAAACTCTACTGCAGGTAACCAACTGCTCCAATAGTCTTTCTACCTACCCTTGTAGTTTTTATATTACATAAGATATCAATACAAAAAAAAAAAAGAAGGAAAATTTCTTTTTGACCACTGAATCTTTTCCAGAGGGAAATTAGTCTAGGTTTACACCTATGCAGGTTGAGTTTGAGCTGTTTCTGCATTGCATTTTGCATTTCATGGCGTTTTTTTTTCCTGAGGAGTCTGGGCCGGGGACAGTCATGATCTCTCTAGGCGCAGCGGAGAGAGGTCACAGGCAGCGAGTCCCTGTCAGTGATCAAAGTGGAGGAGTCTCTGCACAGCTGTCCTGCAGGGAGGGAGGATGGATCACACCGAACAGGTAACTGTGTACACAATGCAACATCACCCCCTCCACACAGATGCAAGGTGGGCTGTGGTCACCAGTGCTCTCTCCCCACAGTGCAAGGGGACCTCTGCAAATTTTGATGTAAAGGGGACTTCTCATGTAAAAGGGAACACTGAGGACCCTGAAGTAAAAGGGGAATGCTGCTGACTGTGATGTAAGGGGGATGGCGGGCTTTGGTGACCAGAGTCCACCTTACATCAGAGTTCCCCTTCACATGGTACACAATGCCCCTTACATCAGAGTTCCCCTTTATATCAGGGTCCACAGAGGTCTCCCTTGTACTGTAAGGGGGAACCCTGCAGATTCTGATGTAAAGGAGAACTCTGAGGACTCTTGTGTAAGGGGGGGGGGGGGGGGCTTGGGTGACCATAGACCTCCTTACATCTGAGTTACCCTTTACATCAAAGTTCGAAGCATTTCCCTTTACACATCTAAAAAATATTCATATAAAAATATTTTATAAAGAATAAAAAAAAAGGGGGGGGGGGGGGTGTCACTGCAGAATTCTCTGCCTATAGGCTCCTGAGATATAAATCTGGCCCTGTATGCCCTTGGCTTCTTCAAACTGCCTGTATCTCCTAGGCTGACCTAAGTGTGCACTGAAATATTTCTGAACTTTCACACAACATGGCCATCCAAAGCAACTCATACAAATGACGATATGTGGGAGGGGTCAAATGACACACAGGTGTCCTAACAGAAAATGACAAATAATCGCGGCTCCCATTTCAAACCACAAGTTGAATAATTCTTATTCTAAGCCCCACCTTGCTACATGAATCAGCACAAGCCTTTCAAAGGGAATAGATCCTAAATATGGAAGATGTGTTGCCAAAGGGATGAAAACAAACAATAAATAGGCTAAAAAAATGTTTATGAAAAATATCAAGGCCACAATGTGGTTATAAAATAATTTTTCATTAACAATTATGGCTTGTTTCCTCTTGTGGCTGTTGAGTGACTCGATGGACAATAGCATGCAAGCGAGTATTATATTTCACACTAGGCTTATTTCTTTTGGAAGTGGAAGGCATGCATTTGTTTCTCTCTCGTTTCCTAGTCATCCCACCACTATTTTCCTTCTCACAAGATATTAGTTCATACATTGGAGATGGAATTTTACCCTAAGGTGTACTTAGAGTAATATAGCTTTCGGAGAACAGAGCACGTAAACTAATTACAAATGGCTCTGTAGGGGAACATTGGAGTGCAAACCCATAGCCGTAATGCAGTGTATCCAGATTGTATGAGTTGTCACTGTGAAGTTCTCCACACAACAATGTTTGTAAGACGATTTATCAGCTCCCCTAC